ACATGCACCAGCGAGGAGCGCTTTCTGTGATTCGGTTTTTGCGAAGTGAAGGTGTGAACCGATGCATTTTAGGCGAATTAAGGTTCAGATAGGATGCGTGTTGGTCACAAATCTATGAATGGTGCCAAATTGCAAATGGTGTACGTCCGTGGCCGATGCTCCACGCCCGGACAGGTCGGCGCGTAGGACTCCGAGACCATTTAGCCGTGAAAGCCATCGTTTTGAAACCGCCGTGTGACAATAGACGAAATTGCAGCATGTGTACACATAGTCACGGATGGCACATCATATGTGCATGATGTTCTCCATTTCATAAGGTGTCTGCAATGGGGCCCCGACAACTGACGCCTGAACTGAAACAGCGACGTGTTGATGCGTGCGCCGGACTTGCATCGAACGAGAGGGGACATGTTGAAAAGTGATTTATTTGTACCCGTGACCAATAAATAATGTTTAAAAAAATAATTAGGGTTTCATTTGACTCCCCTCGTATTATACAAAGTATGAACCTCGTTTCTTAAAAGACATCTTGAACTAAGCATGCCATTTAAAGGATAAATCTGAAGAATATTTTAAGAGGAAATTATCGGCGTTCAAAAATAGTAAACAAGTAATGAAAGGTTTTGTAACTTAAAGTGAAAACATTTTGCAAGCTAGTTACCCAGGAAAATTAAAAATTGCCAAGACTAGGCAGGCTCACACTATTGGAGAAAACCTTATATCACCAGCAGGTTAAGATATCGTTTTAACATTATGCAACGAAAAATCGGCTAATGAACTTGTAGAGACATGATTTTTTGGAAGCAGGAAAGATGAAAAATAGCAAACGCCTTCACCGGGAATCGAACTACTGACCTCTGGAATACCGGCCCAGCGTGCAGAACCACTACACCACGAAGGCTTGCTAGGAAGGCGGGAGAAATACCTTATAAATGATACAATAAGTTGACGAATTCATGAAATGGCATATTCCAAAAAAGAGACACTTATTCAAAAAATAAAACACAGAGAATATTTCTTTTCTCATTGCAGATGGTTGAAAGTACTGATATAACGAACTTTTCGAAGAAGATAAATGAACTGCCGAAGAATATTTTGTGAGTCTCTTCATGATAGAGGAACTGCAAATGAAATTTTCAATGTAATTGGCAATTTATGTCTAAGAATGATATTGCTTGGAATAAGTGCATTACCGTATGTGACGGAACTCGGGTTTTAACAGGAAAACATTCTGGTATTCTTTCTAAAATGTAGAAAGTCGCAGCTGAAACTAAATTTACTGGCTGCTAGTGAAGCTCTAGTAGCCAAAACAATCCCCGAAGACCTGAACATCGTTTTGAATTAAGCTGTGAAAACCTGAACATCGTTTTGAGTTAAGCTGTGAAAATTGTTAATTTTATTAAAAGCCGAGCTTTAGATTCAAGAATATTTACAACTTTATGCAAAAGAGATGGACAGTGGATATGAAACGCTTTATTTACATTCCAAAATAAGGTGGTTATCCAGAGGCAAAGTTTTAAATTGTTTTTTTTGAACTTGGATCAGAGATTCAAAATTTCAGTTGCAAAATTATTTATTTAGTGAATTATGGTTGGCGCGTTTAGCATAGTTACCTGATATTTTCGAAAAGTTAAATGAATGAAATTTAGGATTACAAGGATAAAGTGTTAATTGGTTTACCATTAGAGATAAAATAAACGCAATGATAAAAAACTCGTGATAATAATCAAAGAATTGGATAATAATATTTTAAACATTTTACCATTTTTAGAAAGTTTTCTAACCGGGAATAATTTTAAAATAAAAGAATTAGCATCTGAAATTAAAAATCGTTGCTTTTTCATTGATAAATAATTTCAATATTTATTTTCCCGAGGATTATGGAAAAGAAAATTGGATTAAAAAATCCATTTTGTTCAAATGTACTTGAAATTTTATATAGTGAAAACAAAGAACAATTGATAGATATTTTCTGTGACCAAACTCTAACTGAAGATTTCTAACTTTTCTTAACTTTTGGCCGGACCGAAAAAAAGAATTTAAAGGCATTTCAAATAAGGGTATTGAATTTTTGCACAACCCATTTGAGTGAAGAGAATATTCTTCCATGTTATGTTTGAAAAATATATACAGAACAAAATTAAAAGTGGTTAAAACTGAGTGAAATAAGGCTAGACATAAATAAATTGATCTCTCCTAAACAGGCCCGAAATTCACACAAAATTTTAGAATTATAACTTAAATTTTGATAATTAAAATGGTAAATTTTTAATCTAACATTTTTTAAGGACTGCATATTTAATAGAAATAACCAATAGGTAGTGCATATGGCAATATATATATTTTAATATTTCTACTGAAATATTGAAAAATAATCATTGTAAAATGTAGTGGTGGTACTAAAGTTTTTCAGATTTTGTTTAGCTGATATGCGTTAGTCAAAAGGCTGAGAACCGCTGCTCCATGTTTTAATTAACGACTTTGTATTCTTTAATACCAGGAAGGGGATGGATGATGGGGACACTTGGTGGCATTCCTTCATACTAGTTAAACAAATTAATGTCAATATCCAACATAGGAATTTATTGTGAAGAAACTTTTTTGTTTCGTCAGATTTCCTATACACTAGATATTTTGCTGTCCGATGCAATCTGTATAGGTTCTAAATACGTTTTACTGGCATAAATTCTGTTGCTCAGTACCTTCCCCAAATGCTGTATGTAGCCATTTCTAAATTTTGCAAAAAAATTCTCTAAATTCTAAAAATTGTGCTGGCCCTAAATTCTGCGAATGTAGGTATGCTAAATATTTTGTTACGGGTGCCAGTGCAGTGGTGCTGTTGCCAGCCCTGTATACACTTAATGTTATTTCATATATCTATTGCAAACCTCCAAATCCATGAAAATTGGATACAAACTTTGCGGATGTCTTTGAATAAAACTTATTTTGTTATTAACCATAACTTTTGCAGTATTTCTGAAAGTTTTAACTGAAAAATTAGAAAGCTTTAAAATAATCCATATTTAGGCTATAAGACTGATAAAACTTTTTCTATACTGTACATTTATCTTCACCTTCAACTATGCTCTAAACAAAGGTAATTCAAGGCAGGCTTAACACTCAGTTTTTGCAAAACCAAAACACATAATAAACATATTTTTGGCACTCTCCAGTGTGTCACATAAATGACCATTCACACTGCAAATTTACATTTCAGGGAATGGCCCGAACCATGATTTACATGTTAAGTAACTAATACTGTAAAATTATTAACATACACTGAAAAAAGAATGAAAGGCAAATTTAACCTGTTAATCGGGGAATAAAATTTTGTGGATTTTTTTTTCGCAGTGATAATGTCATCACATCTCAAGAAATAAAAGAAAATTATTTTTAACTTAGATTTTTTTTATTCCTACAAAAAATGTTATGATATTTAAGATGTAAATCAAGTATTTTCAATGTCCAAAGAATTAATTTGCAGCATTTCTTGAAGAAATGTGGCATACTTTTAAATAATTAACTTTTAGCCAAACTTTGAAGAAAATAACAATTACTGAAGTAAAATATTGAAATGCAGACTAAAATGAAGCCAAATTGTGCAAATTCGATGCACAATGTATAACCGGGCAAGTGCATACACCGACCGGTTGTGCACGAATAGCGCTCAAGTAACACATTGCAAAAACACGATTGTACCTGCACATGACTCGCCAACAATATGATGCCATATATCACACTAGGATTAAATATACAAGAACTACATACAACTACCTAATATGATCAATTTCAATAACAAAAAATGTTGTCACTCGCATTTTGGTCGACTTCAGGTCATGATGAAAAATATCATTCGCATTTTGGTAGTTGGACATGATGAAAAATCACTCAGTCATACCCAGTTAACAGGTTGATAACTGTATGTAATAGTAATAGTAACCAAGCACCATTTATTTCTAATTCATCAGAGAATTTTTATTGGATAATATATTTTTCTTTTCAGATGGAATGTGGCAAATGGAACCTTCCATTTATTCGAATTAAATGGCATTTTGATTGTACATTGCTCTACCCTCAGCATTAAAATGTATTTAGACATTTTGGCTTTCCCTCTCCCCCCAAAAAAAATTAGTCAGTAAAAAAGTTTGGTTTTTTAAGTGGTTAAGATATTGCTAATGATTAATATAAACAAAATCTTTATTGATTTTTTAAAAGTTATTATGGAAAATATGGTGTTTACACTACAATCCCAACTGACTATATATCTTGATTTATTTTTGATGATACTGTGAAAAACAGTTATCGTTCAGGCACAGTCCAATATTGCAAATTCTGTACTGCTGTTTTGTGCGAGGAGGTTCAGCTTTTGTACTGCATAAACCATTATCGCAAATATTATGTACTGGCACATGGTCTGCTTCCTGTTGGCGAATCTCAGGTGTTTGTATTTTCTGGCACATGCTGATATCTTCACTTTTCCAGTCACATTTTTGCAGTAATACCAATCTTTTCGCAACAGAAATTTAATCTTTTAGTCGCAGGGATTGCCTTTCACTCCTCATAGGGAAAAAGTTGTACGAATTACGTATTTGGCATATCAACAAAATGCCAGGATACATGAAGATATCGCCAATATCGAGAAAATAACTTAGCAGCCATTGCACAGGTGATATTGAAATTTTATTGCAGCAAAAAAAAAGTTATGGCACTTTACAAATGGTATCATGGCAAGAAAATGCCGATACTTATAAAGTGCTTCATTTTATCCTCAAATTTCCTCTTGTGCCAAAAGATGGCATCCAGTGTAAGTGACCGCACAAGAAAACCACCAGCTTACATTCTATAGAATTTGGAATAGGCGATTTCAGTGTTAGACTACTGCAAATGAAACGACGAAATTGATCTTTTACTTTCCTACCAGATGTAAAAACTCACATTTGATACTAAATTTTCAATGAAAGATTTTTATTGATTGTTGTAAGCATTATAGACTTGACTGCCTTACCATAATCAAATAAGCCAACTCGTTGACTGTTGAAAGATTACTAAATTGAAAGAATTATTAAAAACATCCAAATATCATTTCAGGGTTCTGCAGTATTTTGGTACAATCTCAAGCAGAGTGGAAAGGAAGATGCTCTCACTTTGCATGGTGCTTGTCCTGTTGCTATTGGTAGTAAGTGGGGTAAGTACAATATTTTAATACACATGAAAACTTGACAGTGTAAGATTCAGATTTAACAATCTAAGTACTTAACTAAACCAACAGCAATAATGCAACATTCAGCCCCTCTGTCGAGAAATTAACCATGCTTAATCTAATGTTAAAGCATAATCTTTGATCTTAGGCTTTCCTACTAACATACTGTTTGCTGCTTCTTTTATAACAAGCAGCAATGCTACAAATCATTCAAAAAGTTCTGCTGTTTTTCAAATCAAAGCGTGTTTACTTCTAATTGTTTTGTTACTGCTTGTAGGAAGTGACCTTGATTGAAGCAGATATTTAAATACATCTTTCTGCTCCTCTGCCTCTCACATTTCTGCATTTTTAGTGCAATTCCAGCATGCGTTGTGGTATAATTTTTATTTTATTATAGTGCTAGAAGGGAGAACTCAAAAGTTCATTTTTATCATAGTATGCTTTTTTATTTTAAAAAAGGAAAAAGTGTTTTTCAAACTGCTTGTAAAACTTGTGCTACACCTGGACAAAGTGATGTTTCTGATGACACAGGTTGAAGGTGATTTGAGAAGTATGGAAATTTCAGCCTCATAGATGATGGCCACTCTAAACAACCATCTTCTGTTAAGATTGGTTTGGTTTATTTAATTATGGCAAAGCACGCTAGGGCTATCTGCCTAAGGGGAGGGATGCCTTTGTGGAGGACTTTCTAAGAGAAATTGACTCGTATACACATTACACATGGGGAAAACCATAAAAACGCCCCATGCAAAAAGTCAGCCCTATTCGTCGGGAATTCGAACCTAGGCCACCGAACTACCTGTGTTCAGCGACTTTACCGCTCGGCCGCTGGTGGGCTCTTCTGTAAAGAAGGACATATAAAAAGAAGTTATCACTGAAAGTCCATGTTCAGGAACTATCAGACAGACTAAATATTCAGAAAGATACATGACCATCTGAAGAAGATTGCGTATGTAAGACCCTATGATGTGTAAGTACCCTATACTTTAATAAAGCAGAATATGCTTACTCCAGTTTTAGCATGTGAACAGAAAGGGAAAAATGAAGCTCTATTTTTTAAACAACTCGTTTCTGGAGAACTGTGGATACTATCATTAGTAAAAGATCAATGGGAATAAGCTAAAAAAACTCCTATTTAATAACACTGAGAGCGGACCTACGTCCCAGAAAAGTAATGCTTTGTGTCTGGTGACTACAAAGAAAGGGTATACAATAAATTTTTCCCACCAAATTAGACGATAAATTATTAAAAACACTGTTCCCAACTCCCAGATTTGAAAGCAGAACTGACAAACTAAAAAAAAGAACATTTTAAAGATGAAAAGAATGTTTCTCCACTAAAATGAGAATAAGTTATATATTTTCCCAACTTTTGAACATTTCTTATTCCATATTTTTTTCTAATTGTGTAAAAAGGAGGTTTCAGAGAATCTTAAAATTACAATTCAAAGAAATCAGTACAGAGAGTCAGTAATTTGATTCTTCTGATCCCACTCTCATTTGATTCTTTTCCCACTTTGCTCCATTCTCAATTCACTTCTCATTTCGATCTTGTAAATCAAAGTTACTCTTTACTTAAAAAATTCTCCGCAGTCCACTTCTTTCGAGACCGTGAAAGTGCATCTTCCCTAACTTCTTTACAAATAAGCCTAATGACATTTCTAAAAAGGAATTTTCCAGTTGATGCAGAGACGGCAAATAATCTACCAACCACCAGGTAATTGCTAGTAGAAACTTTAAATGCTTGTGAAATAACAGTATGCACAAAGGCAATTACTGCAATGTATAATATAGACATCAGCAAATCTTATAAATAAACCCTCTATATGTCATGCTAACTGATATGCACCATTTGAGGCAATTTGGTGCATGTTTCACCACGTTTCCATAATCAGTCTCGACACGTCCAGTGAAATAAAGTCGGAGTAATCTGTAACCTACATTCACCACCAAGGACCAATATATTAACTACCTCTTTGAAGTTTCCCATATCAGCAATCACAGTCAAAAGAAAAAAAATAATACATGCTTAGATACCACTCATAAGGGTGAAAATGCAGAAAGAATCTTTCTTATATACAAATCCTCTGATTAACTTAATTTAATCACTATCTGTCTTTAGTTAATCCCAAAACACATGCTTTTAGTCCTATTTCATTTTATCAAAAAGAGTCTTAGCAGCTCTTACTTGCCCGACAAGTTCAGACATTTTTATCAAGGAGCCTTTTATCACTGAAATTAAGGACACTTTTTAGTTACTTGATATCCTTGTTAGCTTGGAAAGCTTTGCTTTATGACATCATCTCATCTGTCAGTATTGCTGGAGAGAGGAATAATTCCTCCTCAGCCAGAAGCCAGGTTTTTAATGAAACTTCTCGGAATAATTAGTGCAAATTTTATTGAAAGCTGGATGTTCTGCTTAGCTACAGTACTTTGCTTTTTCTGCCTATTCAAAATCATAATTGTAGGAAAAATACTTTAAGCACTTAACCAATCCAGGCTTGTTGTAACACCTGCTCTGGGTATGTCCGTATCTGACATATACGACATCATCTGGGACCACGCCATTGCAGAGCTGTACTAACTGCTTGAATCCTAGCTCTCTGGGAATTTAGGTATCTTATACATGCTCGTAAGGATTCTAGCAGGTTTTTTCAGCTGAAATTGACATGTGCCACTCTATAATTACAGAATACAAGTATATGTTTTATGTGCATGTTTATCGAAAATTACACCAAGAAAAAATGCAATTACAACTGCATCTTCACTGTAAACACCTAAGCTACCATCATCATCAATATCTAGAACAGATTCAAAATTTTTATTGCATTATACTTTTTTTTTTAAAAAAAGTCATTTATTTCTTTATATTTCTATCTACATCTTTTCTATGCATTGTTACTTTTCAGTTGCCAACTTCTGGATTCGAGAAAAAGGACAAGTATTCCGAAGAAGATGTGCACTCGATGCTGATTTATGACCATGGAATTGATGAACATTAATTGAGCAAGCTTCTTCATTGAAGTCAAACTTGTAATTACCCACCTGTGACACACAGACTAGAAGCCAAGTAAGAGTATGCGCAGTTTATGCAACCACATCAAGAAGAACTATTACTAGTGACTTGTTGAATAACCTGAAGCCCAAAATAGTTCCAGCAGGAACTTCACATACTTTAAAAGAACTCTCAGCTTTGGACAGAGCTTATTTGAATTACAAAAGTATACTACATTTCAAGGTGACAACCCAGAACAGACTTTCAAAAATATGTAGTTATTCATAAATTTTTTAAGTGTGTACAAAGAATGTAAATAAATATCTTTTTAAAGAACTTTGCAAAACAAACAACTTGACAAAACTATGTATTTTTGTTTCATTTCTAAACATTACAGTGATTTCTATTTCAGGATCTTATACGATCTACTACTCCTTTAATAAATACCTAGTTCTACTAGGTATTTATTAAAGCAGAAAAACTAAAAATTCAGAGATGCCTTTATCAGAATTTTAACTCAGGACTTCTTGACTGCCAGCTGGATATATTTCTGATTATGGGGTTTTATGATCCATTTTACTGAATGAGTAAACTATAATCCCATGAAACTGGGCAATTTATTTGAAAGCTCCTGTTAGCAGCATGCCAGGAAAGATCGATTCACATTTTAAAGATGAAAAGAATGTTTCTCCTCTAAAATGAGAATAAGTTATATATTTTCCCAACTTTTGAACATTTCTTATTCCATATTTTTTTTTTTTTTATTGTGTAAAAAGGAGGTTTCAAAGAATCTTAAAATTACAATTCAAAGAAATCAGTACAGAGAGTCAGTAATTTGATTCTTCTGATCCCACTCTCATTTGATTCTTTTCCCACTTTGCTCCATTCTCAATTCACTTCTCATTTCGATCTTGTAAATCAAAGTTACTCTTTTTTCAAAAAGCTGAGAAATGATAAAAATTAAACTCACTTTTAATATGCGAAGACAAACATTCTTTTCTCCTTTAAACTTGGAATCAAACTTTTTTGTCATGCTTCCAACAGTTTCTAATCTATAAACTTTTACTAGATGCTTCAATTAATTTTAAAACTTTTGCTGCACCAAAATTCTACTGCCTGATGCAGTCACAGGCTCTAGTGCCAGCCCTGCCCAACACTTAATACATTGCATGCAAGAAATAAATTTTTTACCTTCCGTTATAAGAGCGCGGGTCACATAAATGTATGTATTTAGTAGATTTGTGCTTGAGAGTGGCTATCATATAAATATGATGGGCTTGAAAGTGTGTATGGTGTTTGTGTATATTGATTTTTTGTGATTTTACTGAATGACCAAACTCCCATGAAATTCACAGAAGAATGTTCACTATATGAATAAGTCCACAGCGAAATATACCCATACGTAATGTAACTAGGGGGAACAACGCATGAGGAAATACAGCAACTACTACAATAACTTAATTTTTTACTGACAATGCTGAAATAGCATAGGGAAAATTACGGTAAGTCATAGTAATTAATAATATATAAGTAAAGCATGGTAAAGTAATAAAATTACAAACATGAAATTAAATGAAAATGTGAGTCAAAAATACACTTATGTACGACAGCCATTTGTTTTGCAATTTCTTGCAGAATGATAAGGTTCTGGAGTTGGCTGGTACACCATGCAGGGGACCTACAGCAGTTATTCTTGAAATCAAGAGTTTTATTGAAAATCTATGGAAATCTGAGTTTTCCCCAAAGTAATTATAGAAAATTTTTAATTTGTGTGATTTAAAACCAATAGTTCGCATAATTTTTTTTTGAAAAAATTATTTAGAAAGTTCTTTCCACTAAAGTAATAACTAAAATATATGAGTTTAATGGATTTAAGAAATTCCTTCATTAAAAAAGTAAATAAATTAATGGCTTCTTGAGTAAAATAAGAAACATAATTAATTTAAATAACATTTTTATAATTTCCAATCAACAACATTGGTAGCAATGTTTAATAAACATTCAGTTCATATAAAAATCAAAAAGTAATTGGCAATTACGTTTTTAGATGAATTTGAGTTTTAGTTAAAATAAATTTTTTGGTAATATACATTCATAGCAAAAGTAAGCAAAATAACGATAAAGCCCCAATTTCATTTAATTGGAAGAGTTGAAAGATAACAATATTCAAAAGATCGAAAGTCATTTTCAAAGTCATTTTCAACTTTGTTTCTACTTTTTTTCAACTTGCATTATTCTTTAAAAACGGAAACATATTTTATAAAACTATAAAATGACACTGTGCATAAAAAGAATAGTCTGAAAATTTTCTTCAGTAAATGACCGAGTGTCTACAGTCAACACCTATTTAGAACACAGAAAAAAATTACTCATCATTTACCTGTATTTTCAGTTCAATCTGAAGAATTTTCAAGAGAAAGAATCTACATTTTTAATCTGAAGAATCTTTAATTTATAAGACAAAGTTGACTACAATTGAAGACTTTTGTTTAATAAACAGTTAGTATTCAGCTTGCTTCATTTCTACATTATGTAAAAAAGGCTTTCATCAATTTCTACCATTTTGTTAGGCCCTCTGATTTTACTGGAAGCTCTGTTTAGAAAGCTATGAATTATAAATTTTCTGCAGTTAACTGTTCCAGTCTGTTACTGTTTTAACAGCCATATTCAGCTGATCATATTAGGTCGACTGATACACACTTTTTCTTATGGTTAATCTACTGTTTTCTGTTCTGTAAAAAGCAGGTTCAGATTTTAATAAGTTTCTTTTCCAAATACAAGGGGAAAAAATGCAGCAATAATAGTTAATTTATATCCTTCTTTATGGGAACTGGGGGCAGTTATATATTCCAGATTATATACAATTAAATTAGGTACTCTTGTGGATAAAAGCAACTCTCAAATACTATGGCTGCTGGTATCTCTATGAGCTTTTTCTTGTCATATTTTCTGTAGACAGTTTTGTTTTACAACAATGGTTTATGATGGTAATTTTCCTGTCATTCTGCAATAAATAAAATGCACCAACTGGTAGATAAGCAAATGCCAATTAAAAATTTTTGCAATAAAACAGTTTCTAAAAAGTGAATCAACTACAAAAATCGGAATTTTTTTTTTTTAAAAATACACTCTTTGGTTATTGATGTGACACTATAACTTCTATTTATTTATTTTTTAGTTTACATCATGTAGTTTTCTATATTTACAAGAGATTCATTTAAGAATTAAAAATGAAACTTATAACAGAAATAAAAATGCATTAAACTAATAACACAATGGCATTAGAATTAATCAGTCATTTATATCATTTATGCATTATCTTAAATGGCTCTACCTCAATTAGTTTGGATTAACAAAAGCTCTTATGCAGTGGTCTCAAACTCAAATTGCATATGGGCTGAATGCATGAGCCAAAAGCAACTGACAGGCCACACTTTTTTTTTTAATAAAATGCAATTTTTAAACTAAAGTTTAAATTTCATATACTAAATCTTTACCAAAACATACATAAACAACAACAAGAATAATTGGAAAATGCAATGGAAAAATTTTAATTTATATTTATTTTCTATACATTGTTATTCAAATGCATCAACAACTAAATTTTCAGACTGACATTAATTTCAAATAATTACAACTAATTAAACTGCTAAGTTATGTATTTAAATTGAAAACAGACTGTGAAAGCTTTCCAGATTTTCAGAGAAAACTTACTACACTTAAGATTAAATTAATTCTCTTTCCTTTATTTATTGGATTTTTTCCCCAATAATAATAATAATAATAATAATAATAAACCCATATATTTGTAAGTAAAATAATTATAATCTTCTTACTACGATACAGTGTTGTTTTGATTCTGATAAAGCATATAAGCTTGGGGGGGGGAATGCTGGAAACTATCATCTTCACAGATTGTAGACCTTCATCAGTCAATTGTTTTCTTATTTGGGGCAATGTAAATTACACTCTTTTGGAACCAATACTTCCTTATTACAAACACCACCACAAAATTACATAATTTCTGATTTATCTTAAAAAACACGTCATTCTTTGTCCACTTTTCTTTTAAAGCCATGGTTTGCAATTTAATCCAGTAATTAAAATTACTGTTACAACTTTATTTAGAATCTTAATCCAATAAGATGAATTTTTGTATGAAAGCAACATTAAAAAAAATATGAACAATAAGCAGATACAATGTAGTTCTTGCAACAAGCACCAACTGTACAGGTTTCATAATCCTAAAATTAGTTTGTCTGCATTTATACAGCAATATTAGTTGCACAGCTTTGCATTCAGATGACTCCGAAAGAAAGTATATATCAGAAATTCCAACTTAAAATCAGAAACACCAGAATACTGAAATGACACTAACTATCAGTTGGTGCACTAAATTTACTGATTGCACAGATGTAGGAAGTTCATTTCACCTTATCCTAATCAAATAGTTTTCCATACCACTGACTGTTGAGCTGATGGTCCCAAGTTTGCATCCCAGAGAGGGCATGCATGTTTGTAAGCGTATTGTGTCTTTGCTACAACAAGGCACTCGTACAGAGGAAGTTAAAAGTCTTTCTGAGGAGTTATGGTAGAAGAAGAGGTGTAGAAGACCTTCTGACAGGCCGCCCAGGGTGTTCTCCCTCAGAACTGGGACAGAAACCTAACAGATAGCTAGGAACAGCAGTACCTTAGTCACCTATGATACTGCAGAGCTGCTGTCCTAGCTTCTACCTATACTACACAAACATACAGTGTATGTACTCTATGCTATATATTAACAAAGCTAAAGTCCCAACTTATCCAATCTACCACTATTTCTTTCAACAGCAATTGCACACATAATCTCAACCATACATCTATCTCTCTAAAATTATAAGGAGTATATTAACAACAAATGCACAAATGAAATGTGTTTACAGACCATGTAAAATTGTTTTGAGGGCCACATGCTGACAGTCTGAGACCACTATTCTAATGTATTTAGTTTTTATGTATACAGATATATAAATATCAACAAAGAGTTAAGTTATATTATGCACTCATGGTAAAGAAAGGCACATAAAAAAGACTAGCAAATAGCATACATATGGGTTACAAAGTATAAACAAGCATGCTCAGAATACTGAGTTCAGCCTTTTCATAGGACCGAAGGCAAATGCCCCTTTTATGAGGGCCAGAGGTAAACTGCACCATTATTTAAAATCAGAGTTAAAGCCACTGTCATCTGTAATGAGAAATGGGCAGACATTTTTGGAGTTTCAGCCTGGACTGCATATCTTGAGCAACATCTGATATACCAGCATCAATCTGTCGTATCTTAGGTTCAAACATATTCACCTCTTTGTGAATCAAGCCTGTGCAAAAGAAAGAAAGGCATTTCTCAGGAATATCTTAAAAAACATTCAATCACATATTCATCAAAATACTCATTTATGAAAATCCTTACCTGCCAATATCACAAACGTAAAAAATCAGCAGAGTTGGAGAGAAAAACAAATTTAAACAAATTAGAATGTTTAACCTTTAAGCACACCCCCAAAACAGTTTTTTTTTATACTTATTATAGAAAATATAGTGGTTATACTACAGTAACTACGACTACCAATCTATTTTTGATGACATTGTAGAAAACAGTTCTTATCATTTAGGCACAGCCCATCATTACAGACTATACACTGTATTTGTGCAATGGAGTTGAACATTTGTACTGCATAAACCACATTGTAAAGATGTCCCATATATTGGTACATGTGCTGTTTCTTGTTGGTGAATGTCGGATAGAACAAAATGTCTGTATTTTTTGGGACAAATGTTAACTGAGGTCTTGAATTTTTATTCCAAATTTTTGCAGTGCTATTAATCATACTGCGACAGAAATCCAACAATCTTTCAATCGTAAGGATTGACCTTCACTCTGCATACAGGAAAAGATGTGTGAACTTATAATTGCATTTATATATATATATTTATTGAATACAGTAGTTGACAAAATTTCAAAATTTTTGAAGGCACAAACATCCAGAAAATTATTTAACCAGCACTTGCATAAAATATATGAAAAGCAAAGTTATGGCACTCTACAAGCATTATCACACTAAAAAAAAATTGCCAACATTGATAAAAAAAAAGCTGCATTTTTGTTAAAATTTCTGTTTTATGCCAAAAGACACCATCCTATATTACCAATTTATTCATATGCTTGAGCAAGAAACTTGCCAGATTACATTCTACAGAATTTTGAATAGGTAGTTTCAGTGTTAGACCACCAGGAGTGAAAAGGTTAATATTTATATGAACAAATTGACACATATATACAGTTTAAAAATTTCAGTTTTCAAGTTATTTTCAGTTTGCCTTAAGGGTTGGGTAAAAATAAATCAAAATAATTTGAGCTTGGTATTTTTTCCTTTAACATCACTAAGCGATGTTTCTTTGTGTGTTTACTAGTATGTAACATTCTTTAATTTATAACTTTGTTATGCAGCATATCACAGAAAAATTTTTACGCTAGTAATTTTTATGTTTTCCTATGACAAAAATACATTATTAATGTTCATATGCAGTTTTACTATTTTAGAATTAATGTAATAATCATACAAAAAGATTCATTAAAGTAGAAACATTTTTCATTTTTTAATTATGCATTTAATGTTTTATTACTAGTAATATTACAAAAGATTTGTACAGAACATAATTTTTATTTATTTATTATTATATAAAATACTATTAAGAAAGAAAACGGTATCCATTTGGAGGAAAGTAAGAATGGAAAAGTCACTTCACCATAGCAAAGCAATAATGAAGATTTCAATACCATTTCAAATAATAAAATTTACTATAGTGCTTTTGCAGGAGGTTAATGCAAAATGTGCGCACAGCTTAGTTTTTGTATGAAACAGGAATAAACTCTGACACACACAGCCTAAGACATGGTAAATTTTAATAAGACAAACACTATCAAGATTCTTCATCTTTTATTAGCCGACTACTCTTCTAAAATATTACTCACAATTTACAAATATACTTAAAAAAATAGATTCTGGTTATTTGCATTTTATAGCAGAAAAAGGTAGAATGCAATTTCTAAGGCACATTAAAAACAAAATAAAATAAACTTAGCATTTCATGGAAAACAATGTACAGGTTAACTTTCTAGAAATTGAGCGATATATAAACCCTTGAGTGACATGACCGCCTTTATGTCATTAGATTTTTTTGTCATTTGATATAATATATAAGCTAATATATTAAATTGGCTTATAAATTTGAACTCATTTGTTTGCTTACTTAATGATATAAATATCATCTTAATGAATAGGGGTTTATGAAAACATAAACTAAAGTAAGTAATTATACAAATTTAGGTAAGAAATGCTTAAAATATAGGTCTTCATGAGCAGACACATAATTTTATGCCACTCAAAGGATTAAAACAAATTTTTACTGAAATTTCAGCAATACTTAATTCTTAATAGTATAACACTACATACTGAATACAGAAGGTAAAAATATTACATGACTCCTATTTACAATATTTAAAAACTTAGAGAGCAATAGCATTTCAGTAAGTTTGAAGGCTGTACAAGTAAATGCCACATCCATTTTTTCACCACTATATGCTTAAACAATGCTACATATGTCACATTATGAGCTGAGCAACAATTTACCACAGCTGAAGCAATGACATTTTATCAGCAGAAATGAATTAATAGATAAAACAATAAAAAGCAAAAGAACTTGAGTTTTTGCTGGTACATGCCATTGCAATGCCAGTAATACCATCTTTTCTAGAGTGCTACAGCAATCTTAGATGTTGTTCCAGATTTTCTGGAAACATGACGGAGGCTAAGAGATGGTGATGATAGCTTTTATTTTTTAACTTCAATCCTAATTTCAAACCAAACAGAGCAAGTACATTTCTTCATTGAATCATTTTTAGTAACATTTTTCCTTCAGAAATTTTTTGGGGCAATGCTTGCTTGTCTAGTGTTAATTCTTACTGCATTTTATGCAATGCTTTTAAAAGATTTATAAAGAGATGACAGACACAATCCATTACTTCCATGCATGTCTATTTTGCTAAAAATCAGAAGCATTCCAATTCTCATAGAACAAAACTATACAAGATGGAAAATATATAATGGAAATATAATATGAACAATAACAGAAAAAGTGATGCAATAAAAACTGGGAAATGATTCGAAGAAAGTCACTTGTCTTCTTATGAAGTCTATACCGAGGCAAAAAGAAACTGCAAAGAATACAATCTGTTCAATATTCTTAAATACAGTACACAAAGTGTGTAATCTGGACATCCAATATCTGGAACCTGAATCACCAGCATCTCTCTCTCTCTTTTTTTTTTTTTTTTTTGAGAACATTTTATAAAATTTAGGAATAGAGAACATAATTAACAGATTCCTACGTATCACCTTCAAACATCAGTTGGCTAGGGAATCACACATAGCCCATGACAATACACTGACTGATGTTAAATGTAACCACACTTTCAGCTCTTAGTGACTCTGGAGGTATGCCTTTAACTAATATATCATTCTCATATCCTTAACAAATTTGATCCAGTTTAATATTTTTTACAGGCTATTATTATTACAGCTATTTTATAAAAGCTCTTTTTACAACCCCCCCCCCCCCAAAAAAAAAGAAGATTCCTTTTAAGTCATGAATGTTTTATTATTTCATAAAAAAAACGATTTTCTATTTTTAATTTTATAATTTATACATGCCATCTTCATAGATTTAAAATCTTGAAAGATTTCAGAAGATGGACTGCAGAACCGACCTAAAAACAAAAACTCCATTTAATTGATTTGTTAGCATTGAAAATATACTTTACTGCCCAAAGATACCAATAGACAGTTGGCAATGAATTGACAGGTACCAGCTGATGTCTAAGTACCAAAATGTAATTTTTTCATCTAGCGATATAAATGATGATATATACAGTAAACACAAATATTTTATATTTAAAAAACACAGCAAACATTACTAAAGCATGCCAAATTTGAGCTATGATCTTTGGCACAATTGTTTTAGCAGAATAACATTTTACAACCTAAACTGGGTGAGCCAGTTCGTCTAAATTCACATTTACAGAAATGGATCTACACTATAACAAAAAATTATAACAAATAAGTTTCACAGAATTGAAATAGATTCTAAGGGGAAGAAAGCCCCCTTAAAAATATATGCCAAAAAAATTAGTGAAAGAACACACACGAACATATAAAAACAACATGCAAAAATCACAATCAAGGTTTAAGATGCACAAATGCTTGTGCAAATACATGCGAAATACACAACTTAAATACAAACATTTAATTAATGCTACGATAAATAAAATAATTAGTAGGAGGGAAAATTTAAATGTGAAATTCCAAACTTTAATTGAACTACAGAACATTAAAGAGAATATTATATACTTAAATATATAAAAAATTGCAAATACATGGCCACTGAAAAAGAATTCCAGGATTATTTAAAATAATTAATAATAATAAACCACCACCACTTTATTCCAAACTCTCAGCACTTCAAAATGATTCTAGTGTTAAGTCAAAAGAATAAAGATTTCAATAAGTGTTGATTTTTCTTCTTCAGAATGATTCTAGTAATGTATTAAAAGAATTAAATCTTGGACAGTAGTGAAATTTCCTTTTTCAAAATGATTTTCACACTGCATCAAAAGAACGAACATGCACTTTATAGAAAATATTACTTTTGGCAAATCTAAGAAAACTAAAATGAGCTAACAAGATTTTTACAAAAAAAATCTTAAAATAGTCTGTTGGTAATGCTATATAGATATGCATATAAATACATTTGCACGGCAGGATTTTTAATTATGAAAACATTAATGGAAACAGCTTAATAAAAACATTTTAAAGACATTATCTTTTGATTTTTTAAAGAGATTATACATCAATTTTCATAATACAGAATACAAATATTTAATATAAAACAAATTGATATAATTTTATTTAAAAAAAATACAAACTGTATCATTAAAATAAATATATATTCCATTTTCTGTACATTTTTAAACATTCACAAAACAAGACTGTGGTAGCTGAAGCTGACCAAATGACCTAGAAAGTTGTAGAAATATTCTGCTCTTAAATATTATCTAAAGATGATATGGGGCATAATTTCTATGGTTTTGAATAATATTTGACTCTGCCTGACTTAGAAAGAAATGTACAGAAAACAATTTTGCAAAATATTTTACTGACTGAATATTTTGAGTTAAAGAAATTCGCATTATCAAGAAAAGTATAATTTCTTAATATTTAGTTTATACAGAATATTCAGTTTTGCTTGCCAAAAATTTTCAATTATTAAAATTTATTTTACTTTATTTTATGTTTTAACCCAAACTGAAGATTTTACAAGGAACAAGAAATCCCTCTCTCTCTTTCCTCACAGTACCAAGAACAAGGAATTTCCAAATGTCTAGAATGACTCCTTGTAGCACTAAAAGTCCAATCTCATAATAATGGTTCTCCTCCCATGATGATGATGTGAGGATTGAAAATTGGTGAAAAATTTCATGATTTCCAGTGTCCATAGTGACAGGCTGGAACAATCAACAGGGTATTTTTCAACTGAGTTCAAATAGAAGCTGTATACAAACTACCACAATAAAACTAAAATTACCGAAACTTACTAAAATTTTTGAAACATCTGGAAATTACTTGGATTTGAAACACGATACAAATTATTTTGGATGCTGTCTATCGACATTAAGATATTCAAATGAGTAATTAAATGATGATGATTAAATGATTCATTTTTCTTTTTGAAGTTATAGATAAAGTTATACAAAATAAAGACAAATTTTAAGATATGTGAATATTTTAAGTTGAAACTGAGTAATATTGAATGACATATTCGGTTGACTAATACTATTTCTAAACTGAAATATTTGTTTTAAATTTATCACTGTATTAGGATATTTGAATATAAAATTCCAAGAATTGTTTATCGTTTATTTAATGAAAGTTTTTGTTAAATTCTTTCAAAAAACTCAGTAATAAAAATGAGCAAAGCTTTAAGACTTGATGTATGATTTTGAAGCGTATATAGATTGACTGGCTCAAGAAAAACAGCATTAAATACAGATATACTCAATCTATATCATGACAATGTTTGATAAAGAAGCCAATGTTCATAGATTATCATGACACATTTCTTGATTTAAAAATAAAAATAGAAAGATGAAATGAATAAATTTAATGAAATATCCATCAACTACTACGATTAATAACATTCGAATCTCACTTCAATATATTTAAAATTTTAGGAATTCATTATTGAAATCTCAGCATTCTTTTTCAATGACTCATACAGACAATTGTGTATCTACAGTTTTAAATTAGTTAAGAAAAATTACAAAAATTTCCCACTACAATGAAATAATTCTCTCCCATGTATATTAAAAAATTCAGACAAAATTACACAGTATTCTTTCACTCGGTTAGAAAAGACTGAAATAGTCTTGTTGCGAATTATGTGAGAGAGGAACATTTCATGATGCCAGACAGCATATAGCCAGTCAAACAAACAAGACAGATATTGTAGTGTGCTAATGCAGAATGAATGATCATCCAACTTCTCATGTTATGAATTTGAGTAAATCTTCATTCAATCGGAGGAGGTTTGAATGTCTGTACTTCTTCATACACTAATCCTAAAGATAGAAGATAAAAAAAAAAGAAAAAGAAAAATCTCAGTCAAGGGTAATTCCACGCTATATTGCAAATACTGGTAATGCTATAAATCCACACAATTTATACCAACATACAGAAAGAAAGAAAAAAAAAAAGAATTTAATTTCTTATTCATTCAAATAAATAATACAAATATTTCAGGTTTTCTTTCTTTCCTTTTCTAAATGAAACATTAGAAAAAGGTAAAAGTACTTTACAATATAAAAAGGAGATTAAAAAATAATACTGACATAGTTTTCATATAGAGTACTGTACATAGATAACTTATAAACCTAATGGCAATTTGGTTTAATAGTAATTTTGAAAACTAGGTATTACATAGCAAAATTCCCTATAAAGTATCATTTTTAATAATATACCAGAAGTTAGTACAAATTACTTTATTTGTACAACGTGGAATTAACCTCAATCAAAAATAAAATAAACATACGGAAATTTGCACAATTTTAAATACTAATATATTTTTGTACATTATATTTTTAGGTAATAACATAAGATATAAACCTAAGGTTTTTAGACACCTTGAAAGGCTTGAAATACTATCATAAATTAAAACATTTTAAGAATGATTCATTGATGGCTTATTCAATATGAAACCCAAAATAAGACTCTTAAATACAAAGAGGTATTTAAAAAGCACACAGTCACAAAAGCAAAAATTCTACATTAAAAAATGTATTATCATTTTTCTCGACCTAATTTTTGACACATACGAAATATTTCTTTCAATTTACTTTTCTGATTTACATTAATGCAGCGAACAGAGTCTAATGGAGAGTATGATAAATAATGCTTTTAGGTAGAAACAGTCAAAGGTAACACAGTAAAATTCCTTATAACTGGCAAAGTCAAAATAATGCCACTTTTGAACATCTAAATTTAAATCCAAAAATTAAGCCTATGAGATAAAAAATATGTAATAGACTAACAACCTGAAAACTTAAATGAGAAAAACATTTGTGTTATGTTTCTTTTTATGCTTAGATGTGTGAATTTTGATGATAACATCAAAGACTTTTTGAAACAGTTCACATTGAAAGAAGCCATGTTTATTTTACCTGCAAAAATATTACTTTACATTACTGTAAATTGCACTCTATGACTCTATATTGCACTCTCATGGGTAATGATTTAAATAAACATTCCCTTGCTTTTAAAACACGTCCAGCATATTGTACTTAAGTTATACATTTGGAGAATATAAGTCCAGCAAAAATCCCTTAAGCCGGCAGACATATAAAGTTACGTATATATGTATATATAAGTTATATATTTTTATACATATATTAAGGTTATAAGAAATTCAAAACTTTTAAGTATAATATATCTGGTAATTAAAGAAAAAATAGAAATTCTAAATCATAGTTATGCATTTTAAATATAAATAATCTGTATGATTTTTGATATTATCCCTTTAATAATGGATGACAGATTGAAAAATATGGCCAATAGACTTTGCATGCTGTAACTTTTAAAGACAGCATCACAAAACACGAACAAAGAAAGTTCTAGAAACGTATGCTCAATTGCTCTAAAAAATATTTTATCCAGAATCAGTGAAGTCCCATTTCTGCTGGTTAAGACAGATTCTACTGTATAAAGTATTTCACGAAACTTTTCAGTATGAAAATCAATAATTTCATTCAATTTTTATAACGTTTCATATCCTACATATCAGTGGTCTTAAATTGAGAGCCTGTTGGCTGCATGTGACACCCGAAATAATTTTATGCACCCCACAAATACATTTTCGATTAATTAGATTTATTTTGACAAGAATTTGAAGTAAAAGATTTTAATGGCTCAGAATACAATTTTACATTTGACAGCCCCCTCCCCTAAAACCCTTTTTAAGTTAACATACAGGAAAATCTAGAAATGGAGCTAATTAATTTACAATTCGATATAAATCTTATTCAAAATTTCAAGATACAAATTTTATTAACTTTTATAAGTACTTTTCAAAAGATACATATCCTCTGTTATGAATTTTCACAATAAGAATAATCGTTTTGCTCAGGAGTACATTTAAATGTGAAATTTTTTTTCTGCAATTGAAAATTAATAAGTCTACAAGAAATAGTAGACAGCCAATGAGAATTTTCAATTTATGAGGAAGACACTTTCCAGTAATTTTCCTCCAAGGTTACAAACCTTAGGAAAATCAAAACAAAATGAGGTTTCATTGCTGAAAGGTGTGGTAAGAAAGAAACAAGTTTATAATTGTTGACATATAAGTATTTTTTTCTGCACACATAAAAGAAAAACATAATAAATAAAAGATAGAGAATACATTGCCATTATTTATTTTTAATTTTGTTCCTCTTGAGAAATTTTCATATATTTATTTTTAAGTAAATTATTTAGTGGTTACTTCAATATATTACAATCATTAATAATTATTCTTTGAATAAATACCAAGCTGAAAATTTTAATATTTAGCAGTCAATATGTTTGAATCACAAATTGTGACCAACAAGTATTTCTTGCACATACCAACCTTTAGATTTCAAACAGAAAATAAGTATAAATTTTAATTTTTCTTTCCATCATTTTTATATGTATGTTTAATTAATATGTACTAGTAAATTTTTTTTTTTTTTTAATTTAGTTGACAAAAATCTTTTTTTCCCCCTTAATTGTGGCTCATCAGCTACTTTCAGGCTGTGTATTTGGCCCACATGAAATTCTAGTTTCGGACTACTGCTATATACATTTTACCTTAACTACTCCATTTAGAAACAATTAATGTAAAATAATTTCTGTTTTCTTCAAAATAGTTTGAGTTTTTATTGCCATTTTGGTGGCAACAGCCCTGATGGAAAGAGATAAAATGGCACACTAAAAGCAGTGCAAATATGCAACAATATTATAACAGCTGTCATTTATACTGAATGTGCATTTGACCTCTTAATTTTCAGAACAACTATCACAACAGCAGCCTTTTTTTCTAATTAAAAAATTAGCAGCAATTAAATATTTAAATTATAAATGCAGTCATTTTAAATACTGCTATAGAAACATGCTGATGATACAAAAAGCATACATATTCAAAACAAGCACAGGAATTTTTTTAAAAAAATCTTGCACATAATAAACTGCAAAGGCTGTAATGCCCTGAAAATGAAGTAAAATCCCCAAAAAGAAATACTTTATTTTTGAAGTAAGAAAGGGGATCTAATTCAAATGACAACCCAAATGCTTGTCAAGAGTTGGTGTTTAAAATGCAGAGAGAGAGAGAAAAAATAATTTGCCAAATGAGTACAATTTAAGGACTTTTACAAAAAAATTGCTGACATTGTAAAAAACAAATTTAGTATACAAATACCACAAAACCAAAACAGTTTTTGTAAAAATTAAGATAAATTTATAAAAGTTGGCAGATATGATATTTATGGACAATGTTACAAAATGCAATAGACTGAAAAATTTAATTACTTCCAATCTTCAACTGAAGATTGAAGGTCTGATTTATCAAGGGTAAATAAACAGAATGTTTGTCCAAATCTTTCTATACAGTCAAAAGTCGTTAATTCGGACACCCATAATCCGGAATGATCTATAATCCAGACCTCAAAGCTAAAAACTTTCTGCGCATGTGCCGCGTTAGCACATGCGCACAGGCATTTTACGCGTGCACGTAAGAACTTTACTACTGTGCATATGCGTGTGAGCAAGTGCAGAATACGTTTTCGCCTGCGCGTTTAATGTATAACGGACGGTGTAAGCTAAAATTATCTAATTATCTATTTCAGTTAATGTTAATGATTGCGTTGTTCCTTAATCTTCGAATTGGATCCCGCTTATTATTTTTTTGCAGACTGTAAGAGCAATTTTATAAAAGTAAACTGAACTTTCGATTATGTCAAATAGAATTTCCGATGCTGGAACTTCAAAGGATCTACAAAACGAAAGTATGTTTCGATGTCCAACAAACAAAAAGTGGAATTGCTGCAAAAAATGGATAAAAGACATGAAGAATGTGACAGAGATGTTAGTGAAAACGAAAAAAATTTCGATTGACAAGTTAGTCGGTATTCTCGGCACAGCAATTAACGGGACTTGAACAGCGGAACTTTGTAACTGAACAAGAAATTATGTCTGTTTATAGAATTAAAGAAGTATTATCACATAAAACGAAGCAACTTAAACAACTTACATTGAAAGAAATGTTTAATAAAGTAAACAATAAAATATTAAGCTTTTTTTTTTTTTTTTTTTTTTTGTAAATTTTAATACCCTTTAGATCATAATTGTTCTTTATTTCATAATTACAGTTTCATATTTTTAATTTTAGAATTTCTGCATGCCATCTTACGAGATTTAAACTGATGATCTATGATCCGGAAAAGCCGAAGTCCTGCCGAGTCCGGATTAACGACTTTTGACTGTACTATTTAAAACATGTCAAGTTATAAAGATTTTTTCACGAGTTTTTAAATTTCAAAAATACAGTACAAAGTCTGTAATTTGGATATTCATTTTCCGGAATGATCTATAATCCGGACCTCAATGCCACAAACTTTTTTTTTTTGTATGCTTTACGCATGCGTGTTTAGCACAAAAAACGAAGCAACTTAAACAACTTACATTGAAAGAAATGTTTAATAAAGTAAACAAATAAACATTAAGCCTTTTTTTTTTTTTTTTTTTTTTTTGTATATTTTGATACCCTTTAGATCATAATTGCTCTTTATTTCATAAATTACAGTTTCATATTTTTGATTGCATAATTTCCGCATGCTATCTTACCAGATTTAAATTGATAATCTATAAATCCGGAAAAACCCCTAATCTGGAATCGCATATTAAGCTTTTTTTTTTTTTTTTTTTTTGTATATTTTGATACCCTTTAGATCATAATTGCTCTTTATTTCATAAATTACAGTTTCATATTTTTGATTGTATAATTTCCGCATGCTATCTTACCAGATTTAAATTGATGATCTATAAATCCGGA